TGCACCCCCTGCCCGAACACTCTCACCATCCCCAGCGACAGCCGAGGAGGAATGTTAACTGACGGGAGGGTTTTAAAAACTAGGCCCTGCAGGGAAGACGGGCACACTCTCCTCTTAACATGTGTAACTGAGGACAGCCGGTGCTTCTGCCCGTCTACCGTTTGCAAGTTTTGAAAAAGCAAACATGCCTCGGCTTCGCCAGCGTGGGGGAGAGTTGCCTTAAGTGACAAACGTAACCTATTCCTTTGGCTTTTCTACGGCCGGCGCCCCTGAGGCGATGCTCCCACACTGCCCAGGTGACCCTTTCGGCCAAGTGCTCCTGGCGGAGCTCAGAGGACCCCGTGGCCCACTGCGGCCGGTCCCCTTGAGCCGAGTCAGCGTCGTTCAGAAAGCTGGGCCAGCGCCACGCTCTAAGGGACGCGACAGTGGCCATGCCCCGTTTTGCTCCTACGTTAGGAAGGAAACGCACCCGCTGAGTCAGCTCCCTCAACAGAATTCGCTCCTACGAATATTTGGCTAAGCCGGTGCCACTTGAGCTTGCGCGTGCCAGACGGGGGGTCCTCTTTCCAGTACTGACTGTGGTGGTGCAGTGGGTTTCCCCCGGAATAAATAAGTGTTCTTTAAAGGGACGTCACCAACAAGCAGCCCTACAATACGTAGGCCTTCTTGGCGCGTGGCCCTCAGGGGAGCCTGGCAGGCTGCCCACGGCCACAGTCTTTATCCTTCGGCCACCACGGGGCAAGAACCGAGCAGGTCCGCTCCTCACTCACCCGAAAGCTCTCCCTGTGGTACACCGTGCCAGCCTCGGCCGGCTGTGGGGCACTGGATTTGCAAGTCCGTCCCCTGATTCTGTCTAAACATGTCCCCTTTGTGGGCTGCCTCTGTAGTCCACTCTTATTTTCATTAATTCGATCCATAGTATTGCCAGAACTTTTAAAAGTTATTTTTGTATCATGCTGTGCATAGAAAACATATTTGCCTTGTGTAAGTAAAATTAGAATAAAGGAATGCTAGCAGATTTCGGTTGGGTGATGTTATCCACTGGGCCACTGCCCGGAAGGCCTCTTGTCCCCTCGTACAAGGACGTGGAGTGGGGTTGTGGGAAAGGACAGCGAGGGTTGAGGAGCTCTAGTGTACAAATTTCTCCTAGACTCACCCAAAAATACTGACAGTGGACTAAAGGGAATAATTTTTTGACGATGTGATTTCACTGCCATTAAGTATCATGCCCGTGAGCCACCCAGCAACATCCCTCGTGCCTGCAGTGGCGTTTGTCTCCTACTTTGGGAACTGCTGTTTTAGGATGACGTGGTGACCATAGGTAGTGGCCATCTGTGATCTCCTTGCCTATATCTCTCCCTCCCCATTTTAAAAGGACTCTACCACCTCTCGGGGGCTTTGCTTTAGCTCACTCACTCTCATCTCT